CTCCTTTTCTCCAGGCTGAGCCCCCCCAGCTCCCTCGGGAGTTCCCCAGACCCTTCTCCTGCTGCTCCAGCCCCTCTGCTCCTGTGGCCACCCCTTGGCTGGTCCCACCCAGGTTCCTCTTTGCCCACCCGGGCTCAGGTCGTGCCCGTTCCTCCCCTGCCCTCGGGCACTGAGATGTCTCCTCAGGGAGGAGCTTCCCTGTTCTCCCAGGCAATAAAACCCATCCCCAAACCAGCCCCATGGATGTGCCCATTCCCGGTGGGATGTGCACCCACCTCCCTCTCAGTGTGGGGGTTCTTCTCGGGGCTCAGACACTCCTCCTTGGTGAGGTTCACCACCGTGCCCGTCAGGTTGGCCAGGACAAACTGCACCAGGTAGGTCGTGTTCACAGGGCTGGAAACTGCCACATAATGCTGGGGAACATCCCCTGGAATGGCAGGAAAAACGGGATTGGGGGGTGGAAAACCAGCAAGAACCCACCAGGGAACATCCGGGGTCAAACCCTCTCCCTGCCCTCCCTCCCTGTGCTGTTCTCACCCAGAATTCCTTTGAGGTCTGGTTTGATGATGGATTGAAACCAGGAATTGTTCATTTTGATCAGGAAGCCGTAAAGCATCCGGGTGACCTGGGAGGACACGGGATTGGTTTGTGCAGAGGAGAGAAAGGAACGTCTGAGCAGCTCTGCCCCGAGCTCCTTCTGCTGAGGGACGTTCCCCGAGCACAGCCAAGGACAGGCTCCGGCCCAGCTGCCCAGAATTCCAGACAGAGCTGGGAAAACCGGGTGGGATTCCAGCCCCAGGGATTCCTTGGATGATCCCCGTGGCCCAGGTGGCAATTCCACCTTTTCTTTGGGGATGAAGGAGCTTCGTTTCCGCCCCAGGAAACGAGGGAGGGATTCTCACTCTGCTCGGTGGGAAAACAGGGAAAAGGGGAGGGGGGGATGCAGGACAGGATGCCGTGGAAACACACACAAACAGGGCCAGAGGGGAGGGATGTGAGGGCTCCTGGGAGGTTCCAGGAACAGGGCTCCACGTGCTCCTACCGTTTTGGGATCGGCCTGGATGGCAGAGGTGCTGTTGGTTCCTCCAGCCAGGCCATAAAGGGCTCGGGCCACCACGGTGGCCACTTCTGCCAGGGCCTGTGAGGGGACAGGGATCCGTGTCAATCCAGCCAGGCAGATCCAGGGAAAGGGGCTCTGGGAGGGAGCCAGGATCCATCCCAAATCCACCCCAACGCTCCGGGGCCCCTCGCCCCTGGCACTGCCCAGAGCCCTCCCTGCTCCTTCCTGCCCTCTTTCCAGCTTTTCCCACCTCTCCCCAGTCCCTGCTTCTTCCTGCCCTTTCCCACATCCCTCCCCACCTTCTTCCAGCCCTTTTTCCAAACATTTTCCCCCTCTCCCCACGTCCCTGCTCCCTCCTGCCCCTCCCCATCCCCCCCGGATCCAGCAGGAACCTTGGCTGTGTCCGTGACGTATTCCAAGGTCTCCTCAGGGCTCAGCCCCTCGGGATACTGCATCCCAATGTTCTCTGGAGTGTCATACATGCTCTGGTAGTATCTGAAAAGAGGGAGAAAAGCAGGGATTTGGGGAAAGGCAGGGAGAAACCACGGGGCATGGAATTCAATTCCGAGCGTGTCCAAAGCGGAGCCTCCCGGGAGCGAAGCTCCAGCCCTGCCACTCACTCCTGAAAGCCCTTAATGAGGATTTCTAATTAACTTGGCCCTTCCACAGCTTCTCCCATCTGAGCATCTCCGAGCCATTTCCAGGCTGTGACTGGAATTTTAGGTGGGGCTGAGCCCGAGCTGTGAATCAGGGAGGGAAACTGAGGCAAGGCCAGCAGGGATCTGGTAATGCCTCATCCAAGGAATTCCAAGTGATTCCCTACCAGGGATTGACACACTGTGGCCCTGGCACTCCCTGGGATGATCCCCCAGCCTAAAAATGGATCCCCCAGCACTGAGTTGTGTTCCCCTCCACCTGCTCCGTGCAGGGTTAGGGGGGAAAGGGAAGCTCTTTCCCGTGGATTTCTACAGAGATTCCCAGAAACAGCAGAGAAGGATAAAAGATGGAGAGGGGAAGGTTGTGTGGAAACCTCAGAGCACCTTCCAGGGTCTGAAGGGGCTGCAGGGAAGCTGGAGAGGGATGTTCATCAGGAGCTGGGGTGGCAGGACAAGGGGGGTGGGATCACACTGAAATAGGGGAGTTTAGGGTGGGTATCAGGAAGGAATTCTTTCCTGTGAGGGTGGGGAGACCCTGGTACAGGTTATTCCACGGATTCCCCACCCCTGGAAGTGTCCCAGGCCAGGCTGGACAGGGCTTGGGGCAACCTGGGATAGTGGAAGGAGACCCAAAAAAAAAAAAGGGGGGGGGAACTGGATGATCTTGAAGGTCCCTCCCAACACAAACCATTCCAGGACTCCAGGGAGGGAATGGGATAATTTCAAGCATTTGGGCAGAGGGGAGAGACCCAATCCCTGTCCTGTACCCCCCATTCCCACCCCAGAGCTGACGAGGAGCAGGGGATCCCTGAGGAACAGGGTCGTGTGGGGTGAATCCAAGTGCCCTTTCCAAGGCCTGGGGCTTTCTGCCAACGCAAACAAAAAACTAAAAAATAAAAAAAAAAAAAAAAAAAAAAAAAAAAAAAAAAAAAAGGCAGCTTCTGGAAGAACAGCTGAGGCTCCTGCAACGCTCTGCTGCCATTTGCTCACCTCTGGCTCCCAGCCAGCTGTGGGGGAACATTTTCCACATCAAACCGGATTTCTCTCGCCTGTCAGAACGATTCTGCCGCGCTCGTCGGACACGGAGCTTCTCCCGCTCACATCCCCCCTCCAGCGTCCCAGGGGTCCTCTGGGAGCCCCTACCTGTTCTGGAAGGCTGTCCTGTGGTCAGTCAGGACCACCCCAGGGATGTGGCGAGCCCGGAGGAAGCGCTGGAAGGAGGATGGAGGGAGGGGCTGGGAAAATCCGGCTTCCTGCAGGGTCACGGCCGAGCCCGCGCTGCTCCTGCTCAGGGTGGCCAGCAGGTTCCTGACCTGCAAGGAGGAAAACCTGCCCTGTGCTGCTGTTCTTTGGGATGGGGTTTCTCTGGGAAGGTTAAAACCCTGCTTGAGATCCCAGAGTTTTCATCGTGGAGTCGTGCCAGGGGTCGGATACGAGGGGAAGGTTCTTCCCGCAGAGGGTGGTCGGGAGCTGGGACAGGTTCCACAGGGAAGCCAGAGCTCAGGGAGCACCTGGAGCTCTCAGGGACACAGTGGGATTGCTGGGGCTGTGCAGGGCCAGGAACTGGACTCCGTGATCCTCGTGGGCCCCTTCCAGCTCAGGACATTCCATGGTTTCTCTCTCACCTGCGCGTCCACGGACTGGTTCATCCGGGAGACGGGGTCCGTGTGCATCCAGAGGATGGAGCCATTCCTGAGAGCCACCTGCAAGGAAAACCACCTTAAAACACAAGGCTGGACATCCCAGAGCAGGGAAATCCAGGGGGATTTCACACCCAGGCAATGAAAGGCCCCCAGACTTTTGCCACACCTGACTGAGCTCCACGAAGGAGTGGATGTTGTCCAAGCGCAGAGGGAACTTGTCCTGCTCCATGTCATAGACCATCCTGGAGCTGCCAATGTAGTCAAAGGTCTCCTGCAGGACAAAAAGAAAAATCCCAAATCCTGAAAAATCCTGAAAAATCCTGAAAAATCCCAAATCCTGACTCCCATCCGAGGGTGGAGGCACCTCCACCAGCAAATCCGAGGGGCTGAGGTGGAACCGACCCAAGAGTTTGGGGGCCAACTGGTAATTCCAGAGGTTTGGACAGCCTGGGACACACCAAAGGCACCAAAACCAAAGGGATTTGTAGGAAGGGGATGGAGCAAAAGGGCAAAAAGGAGGGGAAAGAGAAAAAACCAGGAGAAGGATGTTGAATTCCACAAGAAAGGCACTGAGGCAAAACCACCTCAGTGAGGACTTTCTGCCCTCTTAATCCTGCTAGGAATGAATCCTGGAGTCATGGAATGGCTTGGGATGGAAGGACCTTAAGGATCACCTCATCCCACCCCCTGCCATGGGCAGGGACACCTTCCACTAGCCCAGGTTGCTCCAACCTGGCCTGGGACACTTCCAGGGATGGGGCAGCCAAAGCTTCTCTTGGCAACCTGTGCCAGGGCCTCCCCACCCTCACAGGGAGGAATTTCTTCCCAATATCCATCTAACTCTGCCCTCTGTCAGTTTGAAGCCATTCCCTTTTTTCCTGTCACTCCAGACCCTTGGAAATAATCTCTTCCCATGTTTTCTGTTGTCTCCTTGAGGTCCTGCAAGTCCCAGTCCCAGTCCTGGAAGCTCCTCTTCCCCAGGCTGAACAATCCCAATTGTTTTTGACAAGGGAGACAACAAACCAGGGAAAAGGGAGAACCCCCCATGCCAGGAATTCAGCATCCAAAGCTTTCCTGGAAGGAGTGGTGTCTCCTTCCCTGGAAAAAAGGGTTGGGAAGGCTGAGAGTGGCCGGGGGAGGACAAGGTGCCCTTGGAAAACTGGAGCAGGGCAGGGAAGTCAGGAGCCACCAGCCCTCCCCTTCCCTAATTTACAGCCAGCTCTTCTCATCCCCCCTCCTGGATACATCCACAGCCTGGATGCCTCTCTCCTCCAGGGAAATTGGGGATGGATGTGCCGAGGAGGGTGAATGAGGGGGAATCACATGGCCCTGGCACGGGAAGAGCTGCACAAAGGACTCATCAGAGCTGATGCCTTGAGGGGAACATCAGCTGTTGGCCATCAGTCCCTCCTCCAGCTCGTTCTGCTTCTCCACAGCTGCCACTTCCAGCTCTGGGCTCCCAGGAAGGAGCCGCATTTCTCTCCCATATATTTTTAATTTTGCCTTTCCTGGGCTCTGTTTCAGAATTTCCAGCCTGGAAGTTCATCCCCAGCAAGGGAGGGAACAGAAAGGAGGAGACAGGAGGGAGAGCAAAGTTTGGGTGATGCATCCAGGAGGATGCAGCCCATTCCTGCCCCACTGGAAGCTCCATCTGCTCCTGTCATGTCCTCCCAGAGCAATCAGGATCCCGCTGGAGCAGAGGGAACCACGGCCCGGGGAGGGAGACGAACAGTCCCAACCCAAAGAGCAGGGACAGGGGGAGCAGCAGCCAGGGGCTGATTTGGGATCTCGGGGGGGGCAGGTGATGTGATCCTGCTGCTCTCACCCCTTGGAAGAAGGTGAACATGACGTTCCTGGGGAGCAGAGGGACGTCGGGGGCTTTGTGAAGGGCTTCGGCCGCGGCCAAGTGGGTGACGAAGGAGGACACGGCGCCCTCGGCCCCGGGGGCGATGTTCCAGAAGAAGGAGTGGCTGTCAATCTGCAAGCACAAACACACAGGGAATTCTGTGCTGGGAAAGCAAACCCACCACTCCCTGTCTTTCCCTGATCCCACCCGTCCCGCCGGGAAGGGAAGGACCAAGTGGATGGTGGAGCTCGAAGTGACGATCGTGCTGCTGTGGCAGGCAGGGATTTATGGAGTGGTTGGGTTGGAAGGGACCTTAAAGATCATCCAGTGCCACCCCCTGCCACGGGCAGGGACACCTTCCACCATCCCAGGTTGCTCCAACCTGGCCTGGGGCACTCCCAGGGCTGGGGCAGCCACAGCTTCTCTGGGCAACCTGTGCCAGGGCCTCCCCACCCTCACAGGGAGGAATTCCTTCCATATATCCAACCTATATTTCCCCAAAATTTGAGCCTTGAGGCCTCAGAGCTTTGCCACAGACCATTTCTCCTCGTCTGCTTCCCCCAGCGAAGAAAATGCTGGAAAAAGTCTCCCATAACAAGATGGAAAGACCCAAACTGTGGGTGTCCCTCCACTGCCCCAAGGGATGGAGCCACGGCTGTATCCCGAGAACACAGCAGCCAAAAGGTTTGGAACATGGCAAGAAACCAAAATACACGACAAAAATATTCCCACGAGACTGGGAACTCCCAGATTCCCAGAATTCTCCCAGCCCGAGCTCCACAGAGCAAGGTTAAGAGGTACCTACTCGTGTGGCGACCATGATGACTTCCTTCTCAGGATCCACTTTTCCAGAGGAATTGATGGGTTGCAAAGTGCTCCACACGTTGTAGTCGAGGAGAGGGTCACACACGATCTCTGGGAAGCAGAAAAAGAAACATTCCTGGAGCTGGGATCACAGCAGTGACAAGTGAGAAACGAGGGTTTTTTTTTCTCAACCCGGTGTTTAAGTCAACGAGCAAAAAACTCTGCTTTGCACCAGGGAAGTCCTGGCTCCAGGGAAGTCCTGGCTCCAGGGAAGCCCTGGCTCCAGGGAAGTCCTGGCTCCAGGGAAGTCCTGGCTCCAGGGAAGCCCTGGCTCCAGGGAAGCCCTGGCACCAGGAAAAGCTGTAATTCCACAGGGATTTGGAGCTGAGGATGGGAGGGTCTCACCTGGGTTGATGCTGAAGGTGCTCTGGAGGGAGCTGCGCCTCATGCAGGTCACGGTGCTGGTCACGGCGTGCATGTGGGAGAAGAGCTGCATGGCACACAGGGGGTACTGGGGGGCAGAGCCATCCCTGGGCACGTTGTGATCCAGGTAACACTGGGGGGGAAGGAGAATCACGGCTCAGCTCGGCGTTTTTGAGGCACAGAAAATGGGATTTGTGGCGTTTTCACCCCGGGGAACAGAACTCCAGCCCCTCTCTCCTCTCTCCCCCTGCCTGCTGAGGTACCTGTTTGATGACTTGGGTCTCGTTGGCATCTTCCAGAAGGAAAATGGGGAAGTCGAAGTCCTCGTAGGAGATGCCACTGCCCAGGGGGTTCCACACGGTGGTGTTGCAGTGGGCGAACTCGGGGCCGTAATCCTCGGAATACACACCTGGGAACAGAGAGAACGGGCACACCTGAGCCTGCAGGACAAGAACAGAGCTCAGGGACTCTGGGGCTGCACAGTTCCAACCCTCTGCCATGGGCAAGGACACCTCCCACCAGCCCAGGCTGCTCCAAGCCCCTCTGTTTGTGTCACTGATGACAACACTGGTCCCAGTTCGGCCCCTGAGGGTCACCACTGGGCCCTGATGTCCAGCTGAGCCTCTGGATGTGACATTCCAACCACCCCAACCACGTTTTTCACCATCAGACCCATCCCTTTTCTGAGCCCATCCTGTGCTGGAAGAATCCCAAAGGGATCAAAGTGTCTCTGCCATTTCCAGCTCCCCTGAGATCCTCTGCGCTTCCTCGGAGCATCCAAGGAAAAGGCACCACCCCTCCCTCCCCCCAGCAGGGATGAAGATGGAACATTTCCTCACCAAACCCATCGTTGGGGCACTTCAGGCCAGGGGAGAAGCCCTGGGCAGGGCTGGGTCTGGCAGCGGCCACAGCAAGGCCGGACACCCGGGAGGTTCCCTTGAGCTGCAGCAACACCTTCCTGGAGGAGAGAAAACAGCCCAGGAATCAGGGATTCCTTCAGGAAGAGCTGCAATCCCAGACAGAGTGATGATGGTGGTGAATTACAGCCGAGCCTGTGAGCAAATTAACCTTTGGTTTTTATCTCACTGTGCAAAAAAAAGCAACAAGGAGAAAACTTCAGTCCTGTCCTTCCTGCTCTGCCCAGGGAGGGAAGGGACCACTCCGTGCTGGGGTTTAATGGGCTGCAATGCCAGGGCTGTAATTAAATTATGGGCTGCTATCTAATGTAGAGGTGAACAGGGTGTGGGGATTCACACAGAGCAGAGCTCTTTCCACAGCAAAGGCAAGAAGGAAAAGTCACTAAAGCCCAGTAAAAAAACCACTAATGGTTCAACCTCACAAGAACTGGCTGCAGTCAGAGCTGGTTCCGTCACCTGTCAGTCAGAAAATGACATTTAATCACCGGATCAGAGAGCCCTGGGCTCCCTGGGGGGATAAAAGCAGGTGCTGACTGACCTGTTGAAGAGATTCCCATCCAGCAGGATCATGTAGGGTGGGTGAGGACCATCGGCCAGGACCCACTGCAGATCCTCCTCCTTCTCCACCACGTGGATCACCCCCGTGTCCCCGCTGATGGAGGCTGTGGGATGACAACGTGCCCTTCAGGGCATTTATTTCCTTCACCCCCCCAAAAAACCCACCCTGGAAAGCAAAGCAGGGCAGTGTGCACAGGGCTTTAGGGAAGGGCAGCTCCCGGGATTAGGAGGGGGCTGGAGGAAGGAATTTGGGAATGGCTGAGCAGGACACGGTGCTTTTAGTTGGGAAAATCCAGCAGAGATGAAGAAATGACCTCTCAGGCTTTGAAAGCACCTTTTGTTTGAGCTCCTCAAAGGACCTTCAGCCATCCAAGCACTGAGTGTCCCGTGACTGAAGGGAATGGGAAGGACAGCAGGAGCCCAGGCCCAGCTTAGTGCTGCTCCTAAGCCAAGGGGACAGTGCCAGACTCCTCCCAGGACAAGGAGTGATACCCAGA